GACTATTTTTCTTGATTTCCAAGTCTTTCTTTACTTGTATGGTTCATACGAATTGGTTCTACGATAATGGTAGAGCACTTGAACGACGATTTCTATGTTGGTTACAGGAGAATATAAAAGGGAGTTGGATGGTGGCTGATGTCGTGTACTACATGGGTCATCCTACTGAAAAATGCAAGACCAATGGTTGGGTCCCTACAGCTCTCATTCTCGGTTTGTCTCGTAGGAAGAGGAAAAAAGATCTTTATTTATTCACGTGTTGTATTATATAAGAATAACCCTAGAAATCATCGTTTGATTAATTTATTTCAACTTAACAAAAATTGACTTCCCAATCTATATATCTATATATATAATAATAAGGTTTAAAGGATTCTGGTGAAGCCACCTCATCTCCATATCATCATCCATGTGGCAATAGTTATTTTAAAAAAATATTAGTTATTACAATATTTATTAGCTATTTCTAAATATTTATTAGCTATTTCAAATTTACTTAAATTAGTATTGATTTTTATACATGAACAGTAGATTTTATTTTAAGAAATATGAGAACTATATTAACCAAAAATGTCATCACAAAAATTATTTTTAAAAAAATTATTTTTAACTTTTTTTAACCTATAAAAATGATCATGAACTATAAATACATAAAAATGTCAATAGGTTATTTAATCAAAAAAGTAAAAAGTTTGTATTTGTTATATTAAAATTTCTATTTTAAATAAATTGAATTTTATATATGATTATAATTTTAGATGATTATACATATATTTAAATTTTTTTATCTTAGTGATTTTAGTTTAATAAATATAATATAATAAAAATATTACATTAAAAATTTGATTATAGAAAAAAAACAATATGTCATTTGTAACCATGTTTTATAGTTATCGGAAGAAACAAGACAGCCCACGAGATACAACCAAGAACCAGAAAGACCTTACCGGAACCTTCAACCTCACCTTTTCCTTGGCCGTCTCCGAGCTCCGGCGTCGCCGAGGCTCCACCGTCTCCGGGATCTCCCTTTCGATCGCCTTCTCTATTCTCTCTCTCTCGAACCTTCTCTCCTCGAGCACCGCGTCGTCCGTAATCTCCAACATCGCAAGACTCATTAGGGTATTAACCCTAAATCACCAAAACGCATCGTTTCGGTCTGGGATTAAAAAACCCGCTCGGTTTAGTGTTAACCGAAAACCTCCGATGCAAAGAGAGTGTCCACTTTTCCACTAGACCATGGGCCAAGCCCAACAATAATAAATCTATTCATATTAATAAAAAAAAATTAAATGACGAAAATATATCTAATCTATATGTAATATCCCGATAAAATATTAAACATTCGTATATATCTTTAATGTTCACCCAAATTGGAAGGTAGAGATGGAGAAGGCCCAAATCGGATGTTTTGTAAAACATCATTTTGATAATTTAATTAGGATGATTACGTAAGCAATTACGACCATCAAATCAATCACGTGTTCATGCGTCTAATTTGTTGGCCCAATTAAGTTTCATATGGACCTTCTAACGGCCCATCATAACAACCCCTTGCTGTACCCGGTAGGGGTGGACGTTTTAACCCGTAATCCGGAGGTTTGGAGGTACCTGACTTAACAAGTACCCGAATAAAAGGTATCCGAATATTAACGATGATGAGATCGAGTATTAATAAGACTAAATTTTCGACCCCCGAGTCCGAGTGGAGGTTCAATTATTTTACAAAGGGTACCCGGAGTACCCAGTATATTTGTTAAAAATCTAAAATATACTTTATATCTATAACATTTTTGTCTAAATTATTCTTATTATTTATTAAAATACTTTTATTTTAGTTAAATTTTTTTATGTTCTAAACCTTTCTATACAAAAATTTCATCATTCCAAATTTCATTCTATGTAACCGAATCAACCATTCATCTCTCTCTCAAAATTTTAGTCATCTCTCTTCATCGTGAATTTTTCTCTTTATACTTTGACCTCTCTCATTTGTATTTTCTATATCTATCATTTCATCGTTCAAAATTTTATAAATCGTATGGGTCCGGGTACCCGCGAGTACAAGACCGAGAATCTCATTAAACCCGAGCTACAAATACTCGGATTTTATGAAGCAAAGACTGAGATAATATTTTTATAAAACCCGTGGTAATGGAGACGAGACATGGTTTTCTAAAAATTGGGGGTACCCGACTCGTGCCCACCCCTAATACCCGTCACCTTGCCAGGCACTCCGTACATATTTTTTTTACTCCGTACGTATATTTTTTTTTAAACGATGGGGAACCCCTGTGACTACCTACTCTTACAAACGGAGACGAACTGGCCACCACCCGCGCCTAACAGTCCCCATGGACCTCAGTCCGCCGGACCTGGCCACCAGGCCCGCCTAATGCTCGGGCCGTAGTTGGGCTTAGGCGCCTGCAGGTCAAACCCCACGCCCACGCGCACGAGTCTGCAACACACGCGGAGGAGGTAAATCAGCCCATTATGATGGGCTGACAGCCGAATAGGTCAAAGGCAATGAAGAGCGATGAGAGGATTCGAATCCTCCACCTCAGGGTGATACATCATGCTCCCTTACCACCTGACCTGGCCCCGAAGGTCAACAAGCAATACTCCGTACGTATTTTGAATACAAAATATACAAATATCGATTAAAATAACAAAAAATCGCGAACAATATATGGGAATAATATCGAATAAAACAGCAAAATTCTTTACATTAGTGTTTTTCAATATTAAATAAATCTAACTTAAAATGGAATAAAAATCCAATGAAAACTATATTCGATGTAAAAATGGAATAGGTATACTCTTTTGGAAAAAAAAAAATCCAAACTAAAAAAAATGAACTAAAACCCAGGCGTCAACTCTGGTTGAATGTACCAAACAAAAAAATAAACAAATTAAACCAAAACTATATAAAATTCATGTCCTAATATTTTTTTATTAACTGTAAATTTTATATATATAAATGATCTTACAATAGAGATTACTAAAGGTAATACAGATATTAAAGTTAATCATAATAAACAAAACAAGTAAAACAAAGAAGTATGAAAGTTAAATAATAAATCAAACAAAAAAACCAAATTAAACCGAAAAATATATAAAAAATTCATATCCTAATAATTGCTTTAACCAAGAACCAAAGGCCCTCTAGAACAAAGAGCGGCTTCACCTCCCTACTCGGTAACTTTCACACACACACATATATGTATACGTATAAATTCGTCAGCATCAAGTATTTTGGTCACGTAATATACCTTCGTTAAACCCTTTGGACCGACCGGCATGAAAAAACAAACTAACTAACTACGAGATATATAATAAACTAAAGAACGAGTAAAATAGATTAGTAAAGCCAATTTAAATAAATAAGTTTGCACCTCAAGGAAAGATAACTAACTAACTGTATTTTGGTTTTATCATATAATGGATGGATTGTGTAAGTCCAAAGCCATTATTATCGTTATGGTATTAATTAATGATAGCGTAAGGCATAAGAAGAAAATCTCATTCCTCTCATCGATTTTGGCCGTGAAATTAAACTAAACCTCATATTAATTAGATAGATGTTTGTTAAATTGCATGTAATATATATAATAATACTTCACGTTATATAGAAATCGAATCTCGATTTACTATTCATGAAATCAAACAAAACTATCACTTTGAGCGCCTTGTAATATATATACACACCCACACCCATACATTTATATATTATATTACAAGACACTATATATGTATAAGCAATAGACACATGAATCAAGTGATATTACTTGAAGGCTTGAAGCTATCATTATGGATGATTATTATTTCGTAACAAAATATCAAAAATGAATTTTAACTTATGGAATTGTTATACCAAACAATGCAAAATAGATTATACAAATAAGAAACAATAAAATGGAATTTTTTTTTTTGGCGTTATTGGGGTTGGGTTGCTTTGTAGCGAAACAAACGACGTACAATACGACATATGAGAGCGAACAAAAAAAAGACAAAACACGAGTTATTTTGAGATCCTCGACATTATAAAGTTACCATCCCCTTTACCCAAACACAAAAAAAAAAAAAAATCTTAAACCCTAAACCTAATAAATAGTAAATTTTCCTTTGGTCAAATATACTAATTTCTTAATATTAAAAAGTTCTAAAAAAGAAAATATATCAATAATTTTATATGTTCGGACCAAAATGATTCTCACACAGCCAATCCACAGAAAATTTTAAAAATTATAATTTTCTCCTCAAATAATGAAATGGAAAGAATTAAAAAAAAAATCTGGTTTTGGTATAATATGTTTTTTTTAGAGTAAAAGCTTTGGCATTTGGTATGTACAAAAAGGACATTTTCATTGTCTTGGAGCGGATGCGTCAATAAAGTGAAACATAAGGTTAATTCATGTAAGCATTGTTGTTTTCAACAATTTGAGAAATTCAAATTTCACCCGACTATCAAATTTAATATTGTTAGAATTTAAACAAAAAATAAAGGCAGATTATATATCCCCTATGTAGCTATTTATAAACTAACTATTTTTTTTACTTTTACATAATTATATATTATCATAACCATATTCCTCGTCGTTTACATGTAATTATTCCCTTTCTATGTTTCGTTGACGTTTGGTGTTAAAAAAAACAATAAACAAGGTTTGTGAAGTTAAAAAAAGATTAAATTATAATATACAAAAAATAAATATGAAGTTATAAGATAAAGATTTGAATGTGTGAAGGTAATGCGGTAAATGTAAGAAAAACATGATGAAGTGTGGAAAGAACACAAACAAAATCCAAAAATAGGAAAAATAAACGTAGATGGATCCGTCATTTGCACGGTTTCCCACAGCGACGTTAGCTTTATGATTACTTTACTTGATTTTAAATACGAATTATTGATTAATTGATTAATTAATTACCCTTCATTAAATTATAATTAATCGTATAAGCTCTTGTTTAAATTTAAGCGGAAGAGGCGGGTGAGGAGAGAGAGTCACAACGCAGACTGCATTTTCTCGACCGAGAAAATACTTTCCTATCCGAGAAAATTAGAAAGGGGAAATTTTTTGAAGGATCATAAATGTTACACGATATACAGCGCAATAATACCTAGCTGTGAGGCTCCTTCAACTTCCGTTTCACGTCCTCGACCGAGCTTCAGTTATCGTCCATCCACCACCCCACCCAGAAATTCTCTCTCTCCATTTTCTTACTTATTTTCCCACAAGCCAAACGGAAATGGTTGCGCCGCCGACATCATCATCGTCATCATGGAGCAAAAAGAGAGAGCTTTCAGCTTCAGAGAGAGCAATGTCCGGACCCAGGTGAAGCAGCACCGTCGAGGACTTTCATTTTCACTCGCGAGGAAGGAGAAGCAAGGAAGATCCGATTACCCGAATCCGCTCACCGCATTGGGTTCCCGGGTCAGGGATCTTTACGATCGGACCAAGTTTGGCAACTGGTCTCGCATCATCGGTGTTGGAGAAACCTGCCCTGAAGTGATGAACACCAATTCGGCATTCGGTGATTCGCCGGAGAAAGTTGCTGAATCTGACGAGAAAGAGGAAGAAGTCAAAGTGAAAAACATGGCACAAGTCGAAGACAAAGGCCGAGAAAGCAGCTGCAGTCTGGACACGACCAGACATGAAGGACAAAGCCTTAGCTGTACGGAGGATTCAACATCTTCTCCGGTTTCCTCCGGTTGGTCGGTGAAGAATGGCGACGGAGAGAAGAAGCATCCTTCAGATTGGGGGAAATTGGGGAAACAGCAGTCAGTTTCAGGTTGGGCCCCTTGTGTCTGAAAACTCCCATTAAAGTGTTTGCTTTTATTCCTCAATGAAATCACTGGAACTCCAAAAGCTGTTATAGGGCTTGTTGGAGGCAATTCACTTTTTCACTCAAAAAAGTTCATAGCTTTGACCCTTTCCTTTCCTGGAAAATTGCCCTTTTCTCTTTGAATTTCAAGGGTTGTTTCTCTTTTTTTCCCCTTTTCTGGTGACTGTGTAGAGATTGAGATGATGAAGGAAAGATTTTCGAAGTTGCTCCTTGGGGAGGATATGTCAGGTTGTGGCAATGGAGTTTGCACAGCTTTAGCCATCTCCAATGCCATCACAAATCTCTGTGGTATGTGAATCATCATCACACCCATGATCTAGTTCTACTAGCATTAGCTTGTATACTGTTTTGTGAAACACTTTCTTTTGGTATTTTAGACAGAAAACATTTGGACAGGATCTTGGCAGGTAGATTGTTAATTTGGTTGCTTCACTTTTTCTTTTCTATTTTCTTGAATTCCTTGAAGCTACTTTGTTCGGACAACTATGGAGGTTAGAGCCTCTACGTCCGGAGAAGAAAGCCATGTGGAGAAGAGAGATGGAATGGCTTCTCTGTGTAAGCGATCATATCGTAGAGATGACACCGACATGGCAGACATTTCCCGATGGAAGCAAACTCGAGGTAAGCGAACTACAATTTCCTTCAAGATTCTCCGATGATTCTGTGCTTATTCCTGCTAGCAAATACAGAAATAGACAGGTTTTAGGTGCTTGGAAAAAGCTCAAATCTTCAGACTATCACTCGACAATCTTTAAGTTTTCTTCTCTGTTTAACATCAGATGTCATTGTTGTAGATAATGACTTGCAGACCAAGATCCGATCTTTATGTCAACCTTCCAGCTCTTCGCAAGCTAGACAATATGCTCCTCGTAAGAACACTCGATCTTTCTTATTTTCCCGAGTTTCTATTTTTCTTCCGGCCCAGAAAAAGTTACTGATCGTAAAAGTCATCGCTTTCCATCGTATCTTTTTTTTATCTTCCAGGAGATATTAGATAGTTTCGAGAACAGAGAGTTCTGGTATGCTGACAAAGGAATTTCGGCACCTGACTCGGAAGACGGGTCAGATTCTTTCAAGAGATCTTTCCATAGGCAAGAGGAGAAATGGTGGCTACCGGTTCCACGGGTTCCTCCGGGTGGTCTGAAAGAAAACTCGAGAAAGCAGTTGCAGCATAAACGGGACTGCACCAACCAGATTCTGAAAGCCGCAATGGCAATCAACAGTGTCACTCTCACCGATATGGAGATTCCCGAATCATACATCGAGTCTCTCCCACGGGTAATGAACCGTATAAAAACCCGGGTTTTGAAAATTTCCATGTCAGGAAAGTTGACGAAAGTTGTGATCTTTTGTTCTTTATCAGAATGGAAGAGCCTGCCTTGGTGATCTGATTTACAGATACATTTCGTCGGAGCAGTTCTCTCCCGAATGCCTTCTTGATTGCCTCGACTTATCCTCTGAACACCAAGCGATAGAGATAGCCAACCGAGTCGAGGCATCGATCCATGTATGGCGGAAAAGGGCCATTTCCAGACCGGCAAATACAGCTTCCAGATCGAGCTCGAGGTCGTCATGGGAAATGGTGAAAGACCTGATGGTTGATGCGGAAAAGCGAGAGTTAGTAGCGGAAAGAGCCGAAAGCCTCTTGCTTTCTCTGAAACAGCGGTTTCCGGGTCTCCCTCAGACCGCTCTAGACATGAGCAAAATCCAATACAACAAGGTCTCGACAGCAAATTACACCGTTATATCAGAGTTCCATTCCGTTAAACGTCGATATGAATTTCCGAGTCTTTTTCTGTTTCTTTTCAGGATGTCGGGAAATCGATTCTGGAGAGTTATTCGAGAGTTCTAGAGAGCTTGGCGTTCAACATCGTAGCCCGAATAGATGATCTGCTCTTCGTGGACGACCTGATGAGACAGCCAGATCAGACAAAGCTTCCGACAATGGGCAGAAGCATTGTCCAGAAAAACATTGATTTGCCCATCTCGGCATATGCAACACCGAGCTACTCTCCAGCAAAAACAGGCAGGTCCATGTCGGCAAGGTCGCCATTGAAGGATCCTGAGAGTGATGGCGTTAAAAGGGTATTGACGGGTTATCTAACGGTGGATCCGAAATCGAAGGACCTGGGCTCGAGATCGAGCCGGTCGTCGTCGCCACCGCCGGGCCGGAGCGAGAGTAGGCGCTCGCTCGAGAAATGCATGAGGGAGTCGCAGAACGTGTGGAACCTCGATCCAGGGATCTGAGCTTAAAATGATCACTTGTTTTATTAATAAATGTTATCTCTTGTTTACAGTAAAAAAAATCTTGTTGAATAGTGATGTGTGTTGACGAATTAGTATATGATATTTTAATGAAATCAACTGACCCAACATGGTAGATTAATAGGTAAAACGGGAACGCAAAACATCTGTTCCGTCTTGAATTCGAATCTTAAATTAGGAAGGAAAATGTAATTCTAAGATTGTGAGATTAGTCTGGATTTCGATTTAAAGTATTCGGTTATCCAGAAACAAGATGAATAGAAGGTTTTTTTAGGACAAGAGAAATGTGTGAACACACGGTCAAAATATATTAAACGATAAACAAATTAGTGAATAGTGAATATACAAAATGTTTAATAGAGAAACGGGATAATTATCACACTAATTTTGTCAAAAAAAATATATAACTATTTAATTACATATACACAAATTCATGGGTATCTAGTGTGTGTTTTTATATTATTTATTGGTATCCATTTTTTAAAAAAATTCTTGAAATTTTCATGGGAACTATTGATTTAGATATTATTTATTAGTGTTGGAATTTGGATTTTAAGTGGGAATTAGCTCATAAAATGCACCAAAAGGCTAAAATTAAAACCCTAAAAAAGAGAGAATGGAAAGTTGAAAAAGTCAAAACCTTTGACTGTGTTTTAGAACTTTCAGAATCATAAGAACCCAACGGAATGGAATCTTCAGGACAACCCACTTCGGACAAAACCCATAAAATCTCATCTGGTTCCCAACAACACTCAATGTTCCCTTTTAACACTACAAAACATATACATATTTATATATGGGCTTTAAAGATAACAGGTAGATACACTAACCGACGGTCAATCTAAACCGGAAATGAAAGATAAAACCAATCATAAACCAGAAATTTAATAAGAGCAAGAGAATCCAAAATGTTTTTTTTATTCATCCATGAAAAGAGAGAACCGGAAATTTAGTAAGAGTTTGTACTTTGTACAAATCCATCATCGGTTCGGGATTTGATGTTTTCTTCATTTCCGCAGCTACCATCAGATTTCTTTTCAGATTTTTTTCTATATATATATATATATATATATATATATATATATATATATATATATATGTAACATTAGATGTAAGTTAAGAAATAAAAAGATTGATTGATATTCTGCTACCTATGCTCCTATTCACCTGTAAAGATCAATATACCGTTTTACCATTCCAGAAGTAAATATCCAAGAATCATATAAGCGTGTAAAAAATCTAGAAATGCCATAGCCGATATATATATATATATATATATATATATAAATGGATTTTACCTTGTTTTGGTAGGAGTATAACATTGGCCAGCAAAACTCTTTAGTAATAGAGAGATTCTGCGAATTCAGACAGAATTTCCAAGAGGGGGAAACCGTATCTTAGAAAACAGATGAATCATATCAAACAAGAATCTTGTAGATATCGAAAAAAAACCGGGTTTTTTTCCCGGATGATACCTTGCCACCAGTTTCCTCTCGAGGCACTTCCTGAATCATCTTCTCCTCCATCTTTCTTGTACTGCAAAATCTTCAGATTCATAGAAGAGGTGATCAATCATTACAGGAAGAAACAGAGAGAAAAATCCATAAATGAAAAAAAAGGCAGTAAGATCCTTCTACTATCATGAATGGGAATATAATTTCCAAACACAGCTGCAATTAGGTAAATCCATTTAGATAAACAATCCGAGGTGTATTTACCGTAGAGTTCATGCTCGAACCACTGACACTATGAGGCCGAACATAATCATCTTGACCTCCATAAAAGATCGACGAGCTTAGATGGCACGGTTGCACTTTCTGCTCCTTATAGATTGAACCCGGGCCACTGTTAATCAAACCCGGGTTCTCCTGTTCTTTGCAGGTCCTACCATTCTCGCCTTTAAACGTGCGGAAAAGGATCATCCGATTAGCAAAAACAGATAAAAAAGGACTTTCGAAACAAGTATCGTAGAGCAGAGATATATACCATAAAGTCCAAAGCTTGATGAGAGAAGGAATGAGATCATGTTCTTGAAACTAATACCTGTGTCTGAAGATTTTTTGCTCCAAACCTCGTTTGAGGAATCCACTGGTCTGTTCCAGTTACCGGTCATTGTTCTTCTTCCCAAAGCCTGAGATTCAACACAGAATCAAAAACTCATCAGCTAATCTAACACACTACAGATCAGAACAGAAAACAGAGAATTAAAAATTGGAACTTTGGGGCAAATGAGCTAAATCAGAGTGAAACAATGAGATTCCCCTATCAGATACTTGAGCTCCAAGCCACAGTTCATGGAGTTCTTCATCAGCCCTGCTCTTTTTTCTTCGTTTCGATTGCCAGGGTGAGGATGATGGGGTAGAAATTTCTGTTCCTTTTCATATAAAATCCAGATTTTTCGTATAGTTTTATCGAAAATCAGAAACCCTTTTCCGGGAATTTCGATTACGCTGCGCAATACGATCCATTCCAGATCTTTTTTTTTGAAGTATTTCATGACTTGTAAACCCTAATTCCACTTTGCAGCGTAAACACAATAAAAGGGGTGGAATTTCGAGTTCCATTAACGATTTTCTCGCGATCAAAACAAACGAAAAGGGCATAGGAACTAGAACCGTCCGTACTCGTCAACGTATCCGGCAAACATCTTCAACGCAAAGTTGGGAAAAAAAATTCGAAATTTATGGAATAGAAATTATTATACCTTGGAAGGAGGAGTGAAAATCGACTCGAAATATCCCGAAGAAGAAGAAGGAGAATTTTCTCGGGAACCAAACAGCTCCGACAGTAACGAAGACGACCCCACTTTCTTGTTTCCTTCCATATCGTCGCCCTCTGTCTCTGTAAAATCTCTTTCCAGCTAAGCCCAGAGACCTATGAGTACGTCTGTATGTGTGTGTGTATGTATGTATCGGTGTATACAAACAAAAGGTTGTTTGGGTGATTTTTCCGATATACAATTATTTGTTGAATGTTAAATTAAAATTTGTAATCTTTTGTTTCCTGTAAAACCTTGTATCCAAAATATATATACAGATTTATTATGAGGAGGAGCAAACAAGTTACCTAAGGTATTCAAATAAATAAATAAATAATATGTTATTGTAATTAATCAGATCTCTTAGTTACAACTTACAATCTCTATCTCTCAATTAAACAATACTGTATTTATCTTGTGATCAAGTATCTATGTAAATTCCTCAATTTAATTTTACTACAAACATTGAGTAAATGAGAATATAAAATATCTTTGGAGAGAATCTTCCATTAATGTACACAATGGTAAATCTAAAATTGGCTGATTTCTTGCTTATAAATACACAAGTATCAGTAAATTTGGAATTTAAAACTTAAACATAGGAAAAAAAAAAGAATGAATAAATATATAGAATTTATCATTTTTGTTATGTACATATTCGTATAAATATATATAAACACACACCTATGACCGTTATATCTCGTTAGGTAAGCCTGTTATGTTCGAGGTGTCAGACCAAGAAAGCGACACGTGGCAGAAGAAAGGAAGTACTTGGACCGACAGGCAAAATGGACCCCGAACCCTAGGTTTGTTGGATATATATATATATATATACGTGTATCTCATGACAGTTAAAAGAGACCACATGGCCGTTATATATCTTTGTCGGGTCTCTCTGTGTGTGTTTGATTTAAGACGTTATAACTTCGATATTTATTTTTTCTTTTGGCGATATTTACGTAACAAAAACATTAAATGGGGCCAGGAAGTAGAATAAATGTAATTCATTTGACAATGGGCCGAAGAAGGAAAATGGAAAACGTGAGCGGCAGGATTCGAACCTGCGCGGGCAAAGCCCACATGATTTCTAGTCATGCCCGATAACCACTCCGGCACGCCCACCTTGATAGAACTTTTAATTGTAAAACATTCAAACATATTCTAAACGTCTATTTCTATATATAAAAAAAAAAACCGTAAGAGGGAATGGTACAAACATGAAAGGGCCCAAGGAGAATGGTCTATAACCCAATTAGTTAATTTTATTTAGGGCTTACCAAAAGAGGCTCAATAGATATTGTAAAATCCATAAACAAAAAGACTTGCACCAGCCGGGAATCGAACCCGGGTCTGTACCGTGGCAGGGTACTATTCTACCACTAGACCACTGGTGCTTCGTTGTTTACCAAATTTTTATGTTTACTTATATAAAATTTTCATTCCCAAAACGAAACTTTTGGAATTATAGTACAAGAGGAAGACAAGGATTTGTATGTGGTTTTGCAGCGAAAATGAATCACCATAATTCCTGGTACCATTTCGAATTTTGAAAATATAAGAAATATGAATGTAGAATATAAGGAACGAATAGTGAAAAAGGGTAAAACCAAGTTTCCATAATGTTCTCTTGATGATAATTAGCCATAATGCAACTCAAAATATATACATATGGAAAGAAATTGGTTGAAATAAGGCAAATTAGTAAGAAGATCACAACCAAATGGCTAATTACAAAAAAAAAAGGGGAAGATTGTAATTGATTGTTGATTTTCTAATTTGTAGGAGATTAGGTTTTGTGGGTTATCTGTTCCTTTTTTTTTTTGTATGGGATTTTGTATTACTTGGACAATCAATCGGCCTTTCATTTCAGAACCTATTCTTCTCATAGACTCTTCCTAGTGTGCATTTGTGCTTCACTCTGCCGTAGTGTCATCCTTGCGTTAATATGTCGTCATATCTTAACTTAATTTTACGGTCCATTTCTACCATAGACTTGAATCCATTGCGAAAGAAATGATCATAAATACATACGCATTATAAGATTAACATCATATATTAAGTACACCACACACATTTTACGAATTATACTAAAAACATTTCCACCCATATATACATACATACATACATACATACATACATACATACATACATACATATATATATGTATGTATATAAACAATTTTAAAGAAGAGAATCGGTTCAAATGATTATCCGAAGAAGATCTCTTTGGCCACACCGAGAAAAAAGCAGTCAAAAAATGTTCGAAGCGCCCATCATTGGGCTCGTAAAAGAAGAGATTCTCTTCCTTTCTTGATTTGATCTCTCAAAAACCCTCCTTTTTTTTTTCTTGAATGCAAATAAAATACGTATGTTTTATTTAATTATACTCATAATACAAGCAATCGCGTATCAGCTCGCGTAATTCAAATTATAGTGTTGTAATCTTGCATGTCATGATCGAACGTAAGTTTCCAAACAAATTCTTGCTATAGTTCTTGAAATTTTCGACAAAAATCTTATGTCGAAATAGAATATATGGATATTATAAGAAAACCCTAATTTTGAGAGCATATATATATATATATATATATATATATATATATATATCATGTATCATATATAAGACATATCATGGAAGCCAAGAACCGTTTCATGGACAGCAAAGATCTTGTCCTCTCGCATGGAATCTGTTCTCCAAAGCATTAAACCTTTGGAATCAGCATGATACTTCCATGACTGTGTAGCTTTAATTAGGAACAACTATATGTATATATTCTCGCCATTTTATATTGAATGTCCCGCAACGAGCAGCAGCAGCAGCAGCAACAACAACAATTAACTCCATAGCTTTGCAACAATGGCTGTCTTCATTACAAGTGTTGGAGAGGACCAGGTAATCTGCATCCTGAGGTTTAAAAGCTTTACGTATATATACATTTGTATATACGTATATATATACACCTCTATCTATGCGTACGTGTCGCTTTTAATCCTCGGGATGCGGATTACCTCTTCCTTCCAACATATATCTACGCGCAACGATTTTCTGTACATACACATACATACATACATACATACATACATACATACATACATACATACATGCATGCATGCATTTGTTCTGCTAGACAAAGGCAAGTTCAAGACTATATATATAACTATTATTTTCTTTATTATTCTCTTTTTTTTTGGTAAATTATTTATTACTATCTTAATGTGAATGTCTACATGATTAGCACATACACGTGTATATATGTATATGTCATTCTCTTAATATCTAGATGTTTAGCATGTGCACTTGTGTGTGTGCATATATATATATATATATATATATATATATATATATATATAGGTACGTTAAATACATATATAGGCAGCGTATGACACGTATATAATTAAAGATGATGTATATATACATATATGCATGTGGATTAGTAAACCATTTAGGGGCGAATCATATAGTGTAATCATAAGAGTGACATTTGACATGATGGATGAATATATATAGGAGAATATAAGGTTATTGGTTGACAATATTCTTTATCCCTAATAAAAGAGGGTGTAAGGATTCTAATTTTATACATTGGACCAAAAGGGCACAACCTTAATTTCCATACGTATTTTTTTTTTCGCCGTCTAACATTTGTGATCTTATGGGATATAGAACCAAAACAAAAAATGAAAATCAGATCCGGTTCATTCTATATATGAATTTCTTTTTCATTTTCTTTTTTAAGTTCTTTGTTATTTGGAGACACTTTCCAAACTCTCGTTCCATTCTACTTGTTTCGTCTCATTATATTTTGAAGATATATTTATTATTTAACCCATCTGACTCTATTAAAATTTTATCATATGAAATTCAAGAATTATAATTTTAGCCGAATTCTATGATGCGAAAAACCGAAGAGTAAATTAACAAACTCAGC